TGACGATTTAAGACACTTGGGTAAATGTCAAGTGTCAAGTGTTAAGACAATGTAAATGTCTAGTTGCGTAAATGCCAAGTGTCTTAAATTGAGACAAAAAATGTCTTATATTTGTTGACTTGTATTTTAAGACATTATGAAAACGTTTTGTCTATCAAATATCTTGGTTTTAGCTGAAAAAATGTCTTATTTTAAGACATTCAGAATTTTACTTTTCACCAATGTCTTGAATTAAGCCGTCTCGAAATCACTAATTTTTCCAGGACAATTTCCCCACGTCTCTCGCGTCTCTTGTAACCTCATGTTCACGGATAATCCGTGCAAACTGTATACTTGACAAACTTTGGCGTTCAGAAAGAAGGGAGAGTGAAGACGAGGGGAAAAATTTCAAAAGTTTTAAATTCAGTTTTTCGTGATGAGGTTCGATCTCAACGACGGAAATCTGTACCAATTTCATTTTCTTTAAGGCATACGGGATATTGGAACCCTCCGTGGGATGACGGAAAACGATATTTTCATGGGGAGAAAATATTTGATGAAAAAGTTGGGGCTCCTGCTGGGGATACAGTGTAAAAAGTTTTTCGGAGATTTTGAGATTTATAGTGAGAAATTGACAGATGTTTTTTTAAGATTTTATTGTTTGAGAATTACTCTGTGAATTTGAAGCAAAATCTTGATGTTTTTCTTAACGATTGATTAAGATGATCGATATATCTATGCATGTTGTTACTGACAAATTAGCTAATTTATAGAATATTCAATTAAATAATTCAGTAGCGAAGCGGTAAACCGGGTTAAGTCGATTTTGACTATTGGCCAGTTTTTGACGAATATCTGGGAATCTAAAAGAGATAGAAAATTTTTTGTCATGACCTTTTTTGTAGAGCCAACTGAGTGTTATAAAAAAGGTGATGAGCAAAATTTTGCTATCTCTCTTAGATTCCGAGATATTTGTCAAAAAATGGCCAAAAGTCAAAATCGACTTAACCCGGTTTACCGCTTCGCTACTGAATTCTAATTCATTAATTCTCATTTTATGATATTCAATTTTAACAATGAGTTGGAGAATTTAGACTTGTCGTTGAAATCTCAATTATAATTGAAAATAAAGAAAATGAAATATTCTGAGTTTCCAAGATGAATGAGAAATTCCGTGACCACTTTTATTTTCAATACAAATTTGTAGAATATGTAATAAAAATTGGAATTTCAAGTCCATATGATAATAAGAATTACTGAAAATTGTCAATATTCAAGCAACTATTGTCTATTCAATTGAACGTGATATTCAGTTTTCACAATGAGTTTGTGAATTCAAACTTTTAGTTGAAATATAAATTATAATTGAATATAAAAAATTTAATTCCGTTGAATTTGTAAGATTAATGAGAAATTCCGTGAGGACTTTTATTTTCAATTGAATTCAAATTCATTAAAATCAAAATTCAAGTGGAGCTGTTATCTAAAGTTTAGAAAATTCCAACAGTGAAAACTATTGAAAATTCTGCGTTATTTAGTATTGAATTTTCAATTAATTGAAAATCCAAGAATATATTCACTTGAACTTCCCCAATTTTTATGAATTTTTACGGAATAATTGGACTGAAATCGACAGCTTTCCCCATTTTTCCTTAACATTTTGAATTTTCAATGACAAAATTCCTTGGGAATTCAGTAGAACTATAATATGATTAAAATTTCCAACAAGTTTATCCGAAATATCAGCCAAATTATCCCAACGATGGATTTCAAAACCAAACGTATGCAGGTCGGATCTACCAAAAATACGTTTGTAGGATGAGGGTTGATCAAAACGCGCCTACGCATTAACTAAGCCATCCGCTTTCCGCAAGTAAACACGACTAATTAATGTTTGCAGTCATCCCTCCAGCAGCACTATTGACCCTTGTCCATCCCAAAACACACAAATATTGCTGAAAATAACGCCATAGCCGCAAAAATAAGGATAAATTGCGTTTTCAATTCACTGAATAATTATTTTATTAGACATTCCTTATTAAAATTAAATCATTGAAAATGTTTAAAATTTCGGAAATCTTATTTTTTAGGCATGAAATCGACTTCTGGAAAACTCTGAATCTGAATAAATGACTGTTATCCTGAAAAATTGACTGTTTCTAAATCAGTAGCGAAGTGGTAAAACCGTACAAATGAATTTTGACTATTGATCATTTGTCAACAAATATCCCGGAATCTAAG